TCACTTAACAGACAGATCTCCAAGTCTTTGACTCGCGACCTACGCCAATTTAATACAGACCGTATAAAAGAAGCGATTGAGCGTAACAAGAGCTCTAAAGTATTCGCAAGAGATCTGCCTATTGGCCAAAGCCTACAAACCAAGGTGAAGACCGAGGATGGCAGAGACATCTCGTTGGGGCCTGAGTTATTGGAAGAGGTTGAGAAGTTCTACGGACGGAAGATACGGAACGTACGGAAGTTGTACGTACACCTGTCACAAATCTAGCCGAAGACCCAAGAGCTAGATTGACCCAACACTGGAATCACGGCTGAGCTTTTGAAACGCCGGTACTAAAGGCTCTTCAGAAGCTGTTTTATTCCGTCATCCTCGAGGAAAAACGCCTACGGCATGGCACAGAAGTGTGGTGATACTCTTCTTCAAAAAAGGCGACAAAACTTTGTTGAAGGATTATTATAGACCCATCTCACTTCTGAGCCATGTCTACAAGCTGTGGGTCTAGACAAAGTGCAAATTATAATCGCAAACCAGTCGAAAAGTAGTCGAAAAGCCCCTTTTTTGTATGGAGTTTTGACGGATTCGATTTTCGATTCGATTAAAAAGTGCGTTTTGTCTAGGGGGGCAGAGCCCCGATTACGGTAATTTTTAACGTCAACAATCCAGACACGCTTCTCGATTCTGCGATACGATTGGTCGTTCAACAGCGTACGTCAGCTGTTTTGACCAATCGTATTGCAGAATCAGAAACGCGTCTGGATTGTAGACGTTAAAAGTTACCGTAATCGGGGCTCTGTTTTCGAGAGTCATCACGAATCGTCTAATTCATGATCTGTCAACGTCATTATTTCGTTTCGAAGAACAGGCTAAGGTCATAGATCATACTGCCTCGTCTCATCTCTTTATTTTTTCTTGAGTAGAGTTTTAAAATGCATAAATTTATTATTCAAATCATTTTATGTTAAAGATTTTTAAATAAAGCTTAATTTTAACACTATTAAGAACTATGCTAAGTACATGGATCTTTTATTTTCGTGTAAATGCTGCGGAAATTTGCGAGAATAAGAACTATGCTATACGGTTCCTTCAAGACTAACCTAATTTGATTATTCAAACAAGAACAAAACTCTTTGGTTCTGTTTATTTATAAAAAAATTGTAACTATTTTTGCTAAATGGAACCAACCAACATTGGTTCTGGTTTGCATAATTAGTTTAATTAAGTGTTTAGGTACCATGCTGTTTAGTTCTTTATAGTTTTTTAAAAGTTGGCCAAAGTGGGTTGGTTCCGCAAGTGACAGTGCTGTATCTCTGTTGTTAGTCGTTGTAAAGCAACCAAATTTTTTTACAAGATAGAATGCGTTATTTGAGCGCCATCTATGTACTTAACTCAATTTCACTCAAACTGTGGGTTGGTTCCCGTTTGCATAAATGGGTCCAGTTTAGTCGGGCAGTTGATCAGTATGGGATCATGTATGGAAGTGCGCACACTACGCCGATTCGATTTGGCCGATTCTTCATACAAATTAAAATCGGGCACAACTATCGGCCAACTAAAAATCAACGGTGTGCGCCTACTCATAAAGAGTAATTTGTAAAAGTCCCACAAATTGTCAAACTTTTTTCTAAAAAAAAAAACGTAGTGATGGGACCACAGATATGGATCTGTGGATGGGACTGATGGCTATAACGAGTATGACGTAGTGTGGGGTGCTCGCTTCATTTCACCACAATTTCACACTAACATTTCTTATGTATTGAAAACTTTAGAGCTGCTTTTATAATAATTGATAAATTGAACTATCAACACTTGACTTACATAGCAGAGAACTCGGAAATGGATCGCCTTTCGCGCGCTGTCAATCGCGAGGCGAGGCGTTTACGTTACGCGGTGCGGTTATAAGAATACTGACCGCCTCGAGTTGATACGGTTACGATCCCTTTCAGAGTTGATAAATGTGCGACGTCCTTTATCCTTATCATACCTTATTTTATGGCTCAAATAAAAACTTAAATATCACGAATCGATGATAAAAATACACTAAATCTCACTTTATAAACGAGCGGGAATATTATATTTCAGACGATGAAACCTATAATCATTGTGCATGGTGGTGCGGGAGACATCCCAGACAGCAGAGTCACGGGTAAGCTAACAGGAACTAAAGCTGCTGTTATTGCTGGCCATGATGTGCTGCTGAAAGGCGGGAGTGCACTTGACGCTGTCGAAGCTGCTGTTGTATCAATGGAGAAAGATGAAAACTTCAACGCAGGTGAGATTGTCTACAGATTTTGAACAAATAGCTTTATTACTCATCACTGACTAATACTAATTTTTGTCATTTTAATGTACCTATACCTAAATGCTGCCTTTTTTTCATTCATGTTGATGGTATAGTGTTTTATAAAATACCTACATTTCAGGTTATGGCTCAGTATTAAATTTAGATGGAGAAGTAGAAATGGAAGCCAGTATTATGGATGGTGCTAGACTCGATGTCGGAGCAGTGACACTGATAAAAGATTTCTTACACCCTATTAGCATTGCTCGTAAAGTTTTATCTGACTCCCCGCATTCTTTGCTAGGTGGAGAAGGTGCTAAAAGATTTGCTTTACAGAAGGTAGATTATCATTTAATGATTTTTTTTCTTCACAAAAGTAACGCAATGCATAGATCATATTTTATTATAACTTTCACTTGTCTTGTTTTAGGGATTCGAAACAATACCGCCGGAGTCGTTAATAAGTCAAAATGCGAAAGATGCATTGCAAAAGTTTTTAAAACATGGTGAATTTGGAAGAACTGAGATCGGCATCAAAGATGAGGTTTGTAATATTTACTGGTACAATAGTATTGTCATGTGACTAGTACTTTCTGTATCAACCAGCCAATGAATGTTTTAGGGTGGTGTAGGCACTGTCGGTGCTGTAGCTGTAGATGCGAATGGCCACGTAGCTGTGGCCACTAGCACTGGTGGAATGAGCGGGAAAGCAGTGGGACGTATAGGTGACACACCCCAAATTGGAAGCGGTACATATGCAGATGATAATATTGCTGGAGTCTCAACCACCGGTATAATTTTATCCTCAAGTGTTATGTATTTTATCATTGCATATTGTGTTTCTTTACTATTTTGAACTTTCTTTATAGGTCATGGTGAATCCATTTTAAAATATTGCTTGGCTCATAGTATAGTAAAATTAATAGAAAGTGGCGTCGATGCCAATACTGCTACAAAAAAATCTGTATTGGGTAAGTCTTTTGTTTAAATAAAGTGATACTTTTTTGTTATAATATTATTACCATTTTAATATTGTTGTTGTTTTAATTTAGGTATGACCAAACGACTAAATAATACCGCTGGGGCCATAACGTTGTCGAAGAATGGCGATGTTGGAGTGTATTTCAGTTCTAACCGTATGTCTTGGGCCTATGTAAGAGACGGCAAGATATACTACGGAATTGAGCATGATCAGGTTTTAGAAGATGCTTACCCTTCACAATAAATGATGTGCCTGTAATTGTATTTTGTATGGATATTATTATATAACTGAATATACCTATTATAATACTAATTATAAAAAATATATATTTTACATAAGCATTGAGATATAATAAATACAGCAATACCATTTTTTCATTAAAGAAGTTTTTATAAAAAAAGACAACCCAAAGCCAACTTCAGCGCGTGTTTTGCCTTACACAATCATGTCAATATTCATGTAGCCAATTTTGTTGAATGTTGAGATTTTTTGTTGATTGTGTAGGGCAAAACATGGGCTGGAGATGGCTTATCACCTTTTCAGTATCAAGTAAACGATGGCTACGATAATATCGATTGATTCGATTGCCTCCATATATTCTTACAATATCTTTGGTTTTGATGAATGAATTAGCTTCTATGGTTTCCAAGCAACTCATTCGTTCGTAGGGCGAAATAGTGTAGTAGCAGGGCCGTAACTGAATTAAAAGTATAATTGTCATATCTGACAATTTCGAAATTTGACATTGACATTTGTTTTGTTACTAATTCTTTTGGTATTGTTGATTGTGCTTCGAAAACTCTTTTAAGATTAATTGAATATATTAAAATATACATATTTCAAGCGTCACGAAAGTTACCAATATGTTGAAGCATGGTAGTCTTCCAGTGCGTTTCAAAACAAAGGAGTTACATTACTTCAGTTGGTTGTATAACATTGCACCATGTTTTCCTGTACATTCTTCTAAAATTAATATAATTACTGATCCTAGAAAGTTTTATGATACATTATGTGAGAGATTTCGAAATGCTAATCGAAGAGTATCTATTGCTAGCCTGTATATAGGAACGGGAGCACTGGAACGACAACTTCTTGAGGTTACTAAGCAGAATATATTGAAGAAAGAGAATTTAAAGTTTACTGTAGTTTTAGATTACCAAAGAGGAACTAGAGGGGAGATAAATTCGCGAACCCTTCTACAAAACTTTGTTGAGGATGTTCCTGACCAATGTAATATAACTATGTACCAGACGCCTCGGTTGCAAGGTTCCTGGTCTAAGGCATTGCCATCGCGATACAACGAACTGGTTGGTCTGCAACACATGAAGTTGTATATCGCCGATGACTCAGTACTGCTTAGTGGGGCCAACTGCTCCAATGACTACTTCCAGCAAAGGCAGGATCGATATGTTGAAATACAGGATGTTGATCTTGCAAATTTTTATTGTGATGTTATAGGTATGATGGCTGTAAGTTTTAATTTTTTTGGTTAATTTTTGTTTTCAAACCAAAATTTATTTTGTCATGATATTGTTAGATAGACTAACTACAGTGCCAAGACACTGGCATGTTGCCCACAATATGATTCTTTGGTAAATATTTTCTTTAAATGTTGCAGATGAAGTTAGTAACCACAGTAAAAAGTGTGTGAAAGATGGCATTGTAAATGACAAACAAAGCCCCAAAAGTATGGTAATACAAGATGTAAACAAGAGTATCACAAGTCTTATTACTAAATGGAAAAGTTTACAAGAATCAAAATTGTCTTCTCAAAAGGATTTTGGTAAGTGACTCTTAGTTTTCTTTCAACTAAAAACCATCACTAAAACTTTCATTGGCTAAATCTGGGTTTTTATTCCAGTTGAGACTACAGACACTTGGGTGTTCCCATTGTTGCAAATGGGAGAGTTCAACATTTGCCAGGATGAGCAGGCCACTCATGAAATGCTCGGGTGTGTCCCTAAAGGGTCATATGTCCGCTTGGCAACTGGATACTTCAACCTGACAGAAAAATATGCAAACACTCTGCTAAAAGACTGCAAAGCAAATATTAGCCTCTTGATGGCCCATCCTAATGTGAGTGTTTTTATAAATGCATTTTCAACAATACTTATTCTTGATTTTGAAAAATAATTACTGAAATGTTAAATGAAAACAATATCTGATACCATATTCATTTGAAATTGTTTTCAGGCCAATGGATTTTTAGGAGCATCAGGACCTGCAGGTGGCATTCCACATGCATATTCTTTAATAGCTAGAAAGTAAGTTTCTTTTCATGTTCATTAAATTTCCATTTTTAATCTCGATAAAACAAAATAAAGTCTCAAACTGCCTCTCTTTCAGATTCTGGGACAGAGTTGTTCAGACAAACCAAGCAAGTAGGGTGCAGATGCTTGAGTATGAAAGACCAGGTTGGACATTCCATGCAAAGGGCTTATGGTATGATTGTTTTACATTTCTCAGTCATTAAAATTATAGTAGTATAGAATAACAAAAATCCACAGTACATATTTTTATGACTTGTTAGCAACAATATCCTTGTTATACGATATCACCTCTGTAACATTTATGAATGCAATAAATAATTAAGTATTGAGTACTTACATCCATTCTCCTCAAAGTGCTGCAGAATTTGAAGTGTATTATGGTTTGCTGCATAACTTCGAAGTATAATGTTCTGGTTCACAGGTACTACCCTCCAGGGAGCAACGTGCCGTGGGCGACACTGGTAGGCTCGGCAAACCTCGGCGAGAGGTCAGTTCGGCGTGACCTCGAGGCGCAGGCTGCCATCCTCACTATTTCACCAGATTTACAGGTACGTGAGTAGTACCTGTACCATACCATAGTATACATACTTTTTTACCTTCTTTTGATACAAATTTGATGCCAGTTATGATCAAAATTATTAATTACTACATAGTCTATCATCCTACTAATATTATAAAAGCGAAAGTTTGGATGTTTGTTACTCTTTCACGCAAAAACTACTAAACGGATTTTGTTAAACCCAGATTAACATTATAGGCTATAAAAAATTTATACCGATCTGTGACACTAAATTTCACGCGGGTGAAGCCGCGGGCAAAAGCTAGTTACTTATAATGCCAATTTATGCTATTTTCCTCGTTAAGTAGCTTCATAAATGGTCCTAATTTTACATGTAAAAAATATTTGTGGAAGAAACCACACAAAAGTGTCTTGTTTGGTAGATAGATAGTTAAAACATTTATTTGCATAACAGGAACACACAAACAGATAGTAAATAAAAAAAAGTAGATCATTGATTGTAAAAATTGGATTATGTCTTTTTGTTTTAGGAGAGGCTACATGATGAGTGTTCGAAGTTGCATGAACATGCATCAGAATGCAGTGAAGAACTACAAAAACGCAAAACTCCATTGTGGGTGAAAGGGACAGTAGGTCTTTTTAGGACATTCTTTTAATTGCATATTATTATTTCTAACATAGCATAGTCATCTGTTGAAGATATGAAGTCTGTTAAGTATGCTCTCATACATTCACCAACATGCTGTAAGTCAATTATATTTTTCACATTGCAATAGAAAGCTGTATAAGAGTAGGTAATTCGTTTCGGCAAGCACTTACACCAATCGCTTTTCATATCTGAAAATGACTTCATACAATAACCATACTTACTTTCTTTTTTGATCTCACATAATAATTATAATAATGTATCACAGACCACAGTTCACAGCTATAAATCTGGCGGCTGCTTTTGTTATTAACTCGTGACATACATTATTTAGTATTATGAATATTAATATTATTTTATGTTCCAAATCAGTCGTCAGTATAACATTTAAGATAAATGCTAGTCTGCAGACAAAACAGGATAAAACAAAGCAAAATGTTTTATTGTCATAAAATGACTTAATTTAATATTTATGTATGCTTTAATGTTGTGATAATACTGTTATTATAATGTTATCAATTACAAACAAATTCAATCCTTTTCAAGGTGTTTGATTTAAAAAGAAACAGAAAATAATTTTCCAATCACTTTAATTATTATCATCCTTATTTTTCATTCATATAATCACATAATTATAATTATTTCGATTCACACTTAAAATAATTTTAAAATAAATTAAATGAAAACACTCTGCAATAATTTATACAAAAATCAGTCGTTTTGTGACATTATTTGATTAGAATTAAAAGTATACAATCAAATTTACAATAATAGGAATCAGGCACATTATTATAATAAATCTATACTAGTGAGTTATTTTGCTAGAAGTAGAAGCTGAAAGTAGACATCAGTGGTCTAATCGGAATGGACGTATTCACCTTACAAAATCATAATTATTTGAAATAATTTGAGTGATCAAATTAATTTAGCTAAATAAAAACTCACTTTTGAGCACAATCAATTGAGTAAATAAAATAAAAATTGCGATTGAGCAATTTACACAACATCACTTAAATATTAATTAATCATGTTAAAATCAATATTTAGGCATACTTAAAGTATTTCTTCTGAGCAAAACTTGAATTAAATATTTTATATATCAAAATCAGATATAATGAATCAGCTGTGAAGTGAAGCCACCATGCAGGTATGGATGAGTTTTATCCTAATCTTTGGTGTTCTGGGTTATACGCCGGCGCCCGAGCGCAGCGCGACTGCGCCATACAACAAGCAACAGGCGCGCGCGCTGCGGCCGGCCGCCGGCACGGAACTGAGTGTGGTGTCGCGGTAACGCCATCATCCTACGCTAACTACGGACGCAGATTGTAGGTACAAAAATAGTTCACCTATTCAATACAATTAATACTACTTAACAATTAAGTATTGCGAGGAGGCTCTGACGAATCGAACAGCAAAAACGCACATTCAACTGAACGTCGACCTGACGCGAAACGCGGCCTTAAAATAAAAGATTCATAAATCTTTACACTGGAATAGACGCAATACACGACGTGTATCAAACCGGGCACAAGCCTCCTCAAATAATAATGCTACTTATCGCGAATCACACTAAGGTAAATTGACTAGGCGTGTTGTGAGTGGGTCGTACCGGTTCCGTGAGACTTAGGCTTTGACTTTAAAAGTAACGTATAAAGCTGTCCGCGTATCGAATTATTGTTGCCGCAATCGCGAGCAATAACTTAGTGAGCGGCGACATACGAGCGACGCGGCTGCGAGCATTATGTTCGAGATTTTGCGGCAGACGAGATTACAGTACAGTACGATAGTGATAGTGAAGCGTTGAAACCGGGTCTTCTTAGGTTATGCAAGGGCCAATAAGTTTCAGAGTAGGCCCCTACCAATATAGAAACTGAGGGTAGGACCCGCACTGAAGTGACAAATGAGGGTGGGTAGTTTCAAAGTCAAAGTCTACGTCCGTTAGTAGCCGGCGTGAGTCAGAAGCCGGCTACGTCGGGCGGCGGGTCGGGCGGCATGTAGTGTAGCTCGTCGACGGGCGCGCTGAACACATTATATAGGACAGCGAAGAGCGTGCAGGCCGCGTATGCGCCTAGTGCGCCCCACCATAGCAGCCGCTCCCACAGCCGCTGCTGTGCGTGCTTTAACACTAACAGCCCTATGGTCAGACCAGCCAGCGCGCCTGCCACGTGCGCCGCGTATGACACTGGCGGCGCTTCCTGGAAACAAAATAGCTCGTTACTCAAATTGCAATTTAAGGCCCCATATGAAACTACGTTGAGGACAGAAAACCAGATTCAAGCCCGTCATAGGCAGTAAAGGACACAGCAAAAGTTCGATTGCGTGTGGCAAGTGGCATACAAGTTTCCTACACCAATGATATCATTAGGCAAAGAAAGTGATCTCTTATACGTTTTTCTTAATTTGTAAATCGTGATCAATTTTATCATGATTTTCATAAAAACAGAACAGCATCATTACATCGGCAGCTACGATGATGACATTCGTCATTTATTGCTCATTATCACTCAACTACAACACAAGTGAAATGCTAGTAAAGAATAAAAAAATGTATGTGTAACTCACCTTTGTATACCTAGCGTGCACCGCGAACCCTACATCGCAAGACGCGACGGCTAACGCAGCGACAAGTCGCACCGCACCGTAGCGCATCGCGTGGAAGTTTAGCAACGCATTCGCCAAGTGAGCAGCGAGCAGCGCGTAAACGCCGCCCGAAGCGCCCGCAAGGCACACATCTGGGTCCAGTACTGAGGCGGCCAGAGAACCGCCCAGAACTCCCGCTAAATAGACCGCTGCACAACGCAGCGCGCCGTGAACCATCTCTAGAGGTAGACCGACCTGTTGAAGAAACCCTAGTAAGTACTGGTATTACAAATCTATACATATAACTGTGTTCGGTTTGAGACAATTGTGACGGTATCATAAGGACTGCAGTTAGTCACTTAACTTGATTGATGCAACTCAGATGACGCATAGTCTGGATGCACACCTTTAGAATTTAGTCGTAGGTATACTTATTGCTCGCAAAACTACATGTGACAATTCACAACGAAACATTGTTTATTAATCAAATCTTCATTCATTTACGTCCCTTTTTCCTGGCATGATCATTGACAGAATATACATTGAAACTTTTTTAGAATAGCCCCAAGTTCTGGTCTGGCCAAACAAATTCTTAGTAAATAGAGGATAGAACTCACCGCTAGCTGCACAAGGAGGTTGAAGGCCAGGTGTAGCCAGCCAGCATGCACCACGCTGTAGGTGAGGAACCGCCATAGCTCACGGCGCCGGTCGGGCCGGTACACCAGTGGAGAATCAACCGGCACCGGGCCCGCCGCTGCCGCGACCCCGCCGGAGCCCCACGCGTACCATGCGAATACGCCCAACTGAAACAAGAGAAAACAATTGTTAACTTTGCAAGAATCAAATGAGTTCGTTCCTTTCAAATAATGGACGTCCACTGCTGGACAAAGGTCTCCCTCAAGGATTTCCACAACTACCGGTCATGTGCTACCCGCATCCAGGAGCTTCTCGTACTCAACAAAATAATTTTGAAAACCCAACTCTGTTTTTTATAATTTCTTTAAATTTCCACCACAATTCCTAATATAAATAAATATACCTACTAACTGTAGATGATAACCCCAGAAGAAAAAAATGAACCGAAAAGTCAAAATCAAAATCGACACACAACTACAGTTCGATGAAAATTAATTTCCCCTATTTTCTCCGATTTCGCTACCGCGGGTTTTGGTACTAAATCCCCAGGCTTTCGTACATTTCCATTACCCCCAAACGCTAGACTGCAGCTTCAATTTCGGAATTGGATTGGATCTGCCAATGCAGTTGTTCGTTGCTTTATTTCAAGAGCTTTTCAATTCGGAACGTAGCATGGAATAACTCATTTTCAGATTGAATTTACTTGGTTTGAATGAGATTTTGGTATTTTGTTAACGATTATAAAATATATGTTACGGTCAAAGTGATAAATGTGAAAATTATGAATAATCGCCGGTTATTATGAATAATCACCACATGATTTGGTAAATGTGATTAATATGAGGTCATTTATGTGTGTATAAAACTAAATAGGCGGCTTAGGGGTGGCGCAAGGGCCACCCCCGCCGCATCTTAACCTATTTTTCACTTTAAATCAAAACATTATGTTATAGGCATCATGGAAAAGAAATATTATGCAAGAAACATTCCAAACTCATTATGCCAAATTATATTAATATATGATATCAAAACGTTCAAAAATTTGGCTGTACACGAGCACGTACACAAGATGTTGTTCTCTTTTATGAAATTTGTCAGTGCTAAGGTTGAATTATTAAATAATCACTGTTAAATGTGATTAATTTATTACTTTTACCGCGACTGTCGGTAATTATTCATAATAACCGGTTATTATTAATAATTTTCAATTTATCACATTAACCGTAACATATATCCCAACTAATATTATAAATGCGAAAGTAACTCTGTCTGTCTGTCTGTCTGTCTGTCTGTCTGTTACGCTTTCCCGCTTAAGGCTTGGTATTTCTTCTAAAGTAGGTATTTCGCGCTGTCAAAATCTGCGCGCGCAATTCTTCGCCGAAAACAGCGCGTCAAAGAGCTCCCGCCACAATTTCCAGCTACACAGTATAGAAATACGCAGTTGGTTAGGTTAGGTTGACTTCCTTCCTTTCAAGCGTCACACTCACAACACTTTCTAATAGAAATCATATCCAAGTGATACAAATTAAAACACCTTTCAGACTTTTTGGGAATATATTCTAGAATCGAATAAATATACTGATCCATTATCTGTATGTTAAATCGTTTGTACCACATTGAAATCAAATAAATGATGATTAAAATTCTGATCAAATGTGACACGTAGCCCCTTCTGGCCGAAACTAAGTGTTCCTGTTATAGCCTCGATTATTGCAGTATACTGAAAATGTCTTGATACCTACAATAAATAATAGAAATGAGTGTTTTCCTTTTTTCAAAGGGTTATTAAGTGTACCTACAGCGTTTTTTTGACGCTATATATTTATATACAAATTTGTTAATGCAAGATATTGTTTTCTTGCTATTTTACATATTTTTTCTAATTACCGTTAGATTAAGTATTAGCCTTATCTAATTACCGTGACCATAAAATTTTTGGGTCTCATTTACGCGAAAACCGCTTGGAATAATTTGACGCCTTATCGATTGTTAAGTTCGTACTTTTCATGTGTTTCATATTTAAATGCGTTTAAGTCAATTAAGCCAAATTTCAAAAATGATATGGTAATTAGGCTGAGAACGCCTAATCGTGAGAATGACCGTAATATTATTATTATACTGGTTACTACTGAGAATATATTATTATTATTTTAGCTGGATTCTTCGAAGTTGTCTCCTCTTTTACCCTGAAAACTTCACATGTAGTGACTCAATATAGATTCAATAGCGTATTAGTTTTGACTGACTTAGATAATGTTATGTACCTATTTATGATTTCCCTGTATTATGTAATTGGTAATATTAATATTTCAAGAAATAGCTTCGTCAATAAATAGTTAAGTTCGCGAATTGGTGACATAATGATTCCTTTTCGTCATACTAAATCTATGGAAGTCGCGTTTTGACAGCTTTAAAATGTATCACTCAAGTGATGATGAATAACGCCCGTATTCACAAACATTACTATGAGGTCTCACAGTGTGCGTGAACGCACAGGTTAACATGAACCAATCACAGAGCTCTATTCAACGCTGTGCGTTCGATTTTCTGTTTCACTTAAGCAAGCATCGTTTGTGAATACGGACGTAACTCACTCACACAATCACTCAAGTGCATTACCACTAAATGACTTCATGAATGTCCAAAACTATGATAATATTCAAACTGGAACCGCGCCAGGTTGTCTCGCAAAAATACGATCCCTCAGACCCAATCTAGGTTAATTTTTTAGCCGAAATGCAATCAGCGTGACCAAGGCCAGGGCTACCACACTTTTGATATTCTACTCGTAGAGTCAAATTATAATTTAATCTTACTCGTATATGCGAACATCAGCGCCCACCAATCCAGCTACTATCCGTTCGCTTTAAGTTTGCCGTTGGCGATATGACGTCACTCGAAGGGAAGCGTCTATAACTTTAACAAACTATATTTAAAATACTTTTTATTTATTATTTTTGATGAAAATTGTGTATTTGCGTAAAATAAGACACATTAATTGCGTTTAATCACTAACTAATTGCGTTAATAATCGCGGTCGGGGTAGGGGACGCGCATTCCACGAACCGGCAAACTTGTACCTACGGACGGTGTAATGTAGGCCAATTCCTCAATTTCTTTATATGTGTAATAAGAGATAAAAGTAGTGAATATAGCAACATTATAAGAGCTACTACACACAAAATTAAATGCTACTTTTAGCATCGTCGATCAACGATGATGCATCATGATTTCGCAACTTCATACTTTCGAACGCGCGCTAAAAGTCAGATGTAACCTGTGATCTAAATAGGTATATACGAGTATAACTCAAAGGTGACTCACTGACTGACTGACTGACTGACTGATTGACTGACTGACTGACTGACTGACATAGTGATCTATCAACGCACAGCCCAAACCACTAGACGGATCGGGCTGAAATTTAGCATTCAGGTAGATGTTATGACGGAAGTACTCGGTGGGGGTAAAACGGGATCCACACGTACGAAGTCGCGGGCGGTCGCTAGTTCAGAATAAAAGAGACATTATTAGTGCTGGTAACTGTATAATAAATCCAGCAAAAAGTTGCCGGATTTGGTAACCCTTACAGAGATCCGTGGCCAAAACCGAATGTATGCAGTGGCATTTTTGCCGTTTCGCCCATTTTTGCCGTTCGCGCTCGCAAAATGTCCGAATGGGACGCACATTCAAATAACATTCAGTTTTGCACAAAGAACCAAGATTAAATGGAGTCGGTACTGCTTTCTTCTTCATTATCTAGCATTCCAGTCTTTTATAAATACCTAGTTCATTGAATCTACTAAATTGTCATTTTACTAAATTGAACTTATGTATGTTTCACGTAGAATTCACTCATAGCACTAGGCATCGTATCGCACGGGTAGATAAAAGTAAGTACCTATCTATACTAATATTATAAATGCGAAAGTAACTCTGTCTGTCTGTCTGTCTCTCTTTCACGCCTAAACCACTGAACCGATTTTGATGAAATTCGGCATAGAGATAATTGAGTCCCGGGAAAGGACATAGGATAGTTTTTATCCCGGTTTTTAAAACAGGGACGCGCGCGATAAAATTTTTCTGTGACTGACAAAGTTCCACGCGGGCGAAGCCGCGGGCGGAAAGCTAGTATAACATAAAGGAAGAGAAGGATTTTTTCCAATCGGTCTTGTTGGTTTTAAACTTATTTTCGTTACAAAAATTCAATTTTTTCATCTTTATTCAATAGATATTTTATTTGTACTTATGAGTTCTGTAGTCACTAGACGAGTATTTACAATAGGTTTAAACTGTACACCTATTCCATTACCGTTGTATGAACTTACGAAGTTCTGAACTTCGTTCAATTTCTCAAAAGCATATCGTTAACGCTGATGCTAACTTTTGCTCAGTAAGCTACAATTTCAACTTCGTGTATTTACTCCATAGTTTCTTGTTCTCGTGTGAGTTATCAAGTAGCTACTCGTAGTACGAGTATAAGTCACATCATTATGGGCTGTAAGAGTATGCCCTTTACAGATTGGGCGCGTTAAACGATCGTCCTTAATTTACATTTAAAAAATCAAACAACAAAAAACACTACGACTGCTTACTATTTATGTTATATCAAAATCAAAGTTAAAGAAGTATTTGTTTGTCTGGGATAATTAAATTAGTATGTTAAAGTACATTGTATTGTGACACTCAACAATGTGCCAAATGCCTAATGGTAGTCTTCGTTTGTTTCTGCAATTTAATCTATTAATTTAATAATATAATAGGTATTTGTGAGTCCAGCACTGGACTGTAGGTTGATGATTAAACATAATACTGGGTGATAGGAAAACTCGACTCTCCTTGAAAGGAGTTTTACTAGCGACCTAGAGATCTGGAGCAACAAATAAAGTCCAGTAAATAAAAAATATCGTCATAAATAAAGCTGAATCTGTAAGAACCTTACTTACTTTACAACAAAGATGATACTAGTTTCACTACCTACGTACTTGCAACGGTAACTTTGCAAGGAATTTCGCTTATTTAAAAAAAAGAGGAGATTCTTACATTTATTCGTAGCTGCCGGTTTTGATTCATTTCATTCAAGCGATTGAAGCACCTTTATTTTTATGCCAACTAACAATTTTAACGGATTTCATACATAACAAAAAGAGGTTAGTTTCACCATTTACCTATTATCCAGGTTTAACAGTTGTAACGAAAATGTAGACCCATTTGCTTTTATCACACGTGCACTGATAAATT